TATATATATATATATCGCGCAGCCATACGTGTTTGTTTATAAATCTACAAAGGGAAATCATAGTCTGGAACCATACCAGTCAACACCGGGTAAGTCGGGAGTCTGCTCGTCGAAGCCCCAAGCTCCAAACCACGCAGAACAGATGAACCCTGAATCCTGTGAACGCCCTCATGCTCAGATCCCACGCAAGTCTTCAAAGCCGAAACACCTTGAAGCCTGTGTCAACCCTAAACCTTAACCCTGAGCTTCCCTAAACGAGGTTCTTTCTCTTGCTCATGGGCCTTGGCGTGATCGGTGCCATGGTGTCCTGGCCTCCTCTTACAAAGCCCGTGAAGTGCAGACTCTGCGGGAATCCAAGCAGAAACAACCTCAACCCTAAGCCTCAACCCAGCTTTCTCCAGCTTTAATCATCGCCATGCAAGTGTGTCTTAGGATAAAACAATTAAGCAACTAACGAACTTGGGTTAAACAGCGTCAAAACCATTGTTTCTAAGGGCCCAAGTGCCCAACAACCATATATATATATATATATNNCCCCCCCCCCCCCACCACCACCCCCAGACACCAAGCCGCACTAGTACTATCAAAAGCCGAAGTAGCCAATTATTGGTGTCCTTTGGACCGTTAGGGTGAAGCCCTACATCCCCACCATAAACGAAGCCCTTCGCCATATGCTCCGTTTGTACAAGTAAGATGCCGTCTCTCTAGAGCCAAGGCCTATGGGGTGATCCTCCATGTTGCACGTGGGCGCCGGAAGCCCTGGCACTTCTTCCTTTCCCACCAGACGCCCGAAAAATGGGTAATGAGGGTTTAGGGTTTAGGGTTTAATGAGATAAAGTTCGGAACTTTCGGATTCTTGAGGATTTGGGTATTCGAACTGGGAGCTTTGATGGCTCCGCTTGTAGGGAGAATGGGTATAACAGGTGCCCTCTAAGGGTGTCACAAGAAGGGTTTCGGATGGATTCTGTAAGAGTGTTATGTAGTTTGTCGAATTGGCGATGTAGGGTTTAGGGTTTAGG